TATATATATCATCTTCCCCCATGCAGCTGTGCAGCAGCAGATCACTTCTGAAAGTCAACTACTGCTGGTTGCTAATCACCTATTGCTGCAGGGAGATGCTGGACAGAGCTGTAACAGTTTCTATGTAGTGCTCAGAGAAATCACCGAACCCAAGCACCGCCATGTGAGGTCGGCAGCGACATCTCCAACCCCAGATAAGTGCCAACATCATCTGACATGAAACTTACCCCGGGTTGGTTTCCCAACTCTGACAGTGGAACAAAGCAGATGAAGATTGTGGTGAAAATAGGTGGGTTTGCAGGGGCTACACGAATACCCTGACAGATTGCCTTGAATGTCCTGCACCACCACAGCACTGAAACTGTACCCTCTCATCACCCACCTACCAAATGTAACCCCAAAGCAATTACACTACACCCCCTGCCACACACCACACTGTCACCCTGCAGCAGTGCACTAACAATACAACTCCTATCATCTAACCACTAAGGTGGCCACCTGTCCTGGATTCAACTGGACAGTTTGGGTTTCAGCTGGCCTGACACCCGAAAACAGCATATACAGGACTCAAAACCCAGACTGTCCAGGTGAATCAGGGACAGGTGGCAACCCTACTAACCACCCTCCCTGACATTGCACGCACACCCTGCCCCCAGCATCCCAACCCCGCTTCACAGTTACTTTATCAACCTTTCATCCATCTCCCCCTACCCTGCAGCCTTAAAATGCTGACACTACACCCCCTTTTCTCTGTCACATTGTAACACGGTGTTGTGTCGAATTCTGGTCCCCCATCGATCTGGGTGCATCCACGCGTAACCTCCTCCCCCATCACACTGTAACGCTGACAATGCAATCTCCGTCACTCTTCTCCCTGTACAATGATGTTAGTGCGCACATAATCACCAATGTCTCTGGAACATGAGACAGAAAAGTCTGAGCTTTTCTAGGATCTCAGTTTACTCCATGTTTGCTCCGACCACTTACTGCCCTAACTTTGACCGCTCCATTCAACCGAACGCTGCACACCCCGGTCCCGCTCTTCCAAGCTGGCTGAGTCTTGTGTCAGCTGTGCTTGGTTCACACGTGATTTCCTGTTTGCGTTCCAAGCCTCGCAGTGGTGAATGTTACTGATTGGGTGAGTGGTGCTGTGGCGGCAAGTGTGTGTGTATACTGTATAGCGATCTTTGCCCGGAGAGGTGACATCGGACCGAGTAGTGGAGATGAGTAAATCCAAGGATGGTGGGGGTGAGTGTCCTTCCACTGACAGGGACCGCTGTCTATCTACGTCCTGTAATGATAATTCAGGATTAGAGTCCTGACTACCACGTGTTACTGTGTATTCCTCACAGGCCTCTTATACTAATGTGCAGAGAACAGGGGAGGACTGGGGGCAGAAGACACAACCACGTGACTCCATGTTAGGGGTACTTTACTGTGGGCTATGAAGGTGTGTTATGGTGCTGTATTAGATGGTGGCCATGGTGAAAGGTGGGTGCTCTTGGAGAACACAGGTTCTTGTGTACATAGACTGGATTCAGTCTATGTACGGTTTCGCAATTCTAGCTCAAGGTTCACTAAGTTTGCAGCAAACCCCATTGACGTCTATGGAGGAAGAATCTTGTTAGTTAGTTTTGCCCATTTGAAGAGCTAAAAAGGAAACATTGGGGACATGTGCAATTCCAAAGTTAAAAAAGAAATAAATAAAACTATCTCACAGAATTGTAAGATCTCCCTGAAGCTGGCCATACCTGCAGATTTTCTGTGGTCAGATGGAAGAAGTTCCGACAGATTCCTCCATCTACACTAAACAGTGTGGATGGGGGAATCCCCCACAGGGCCAAGCTTTAGTATCTTGCTAGTTGGCCCCACTGGCTCTCAAAACACCTGAACAATGCTTGCATCCAATCAGATTGTTCCGGTATTTTGACAGCCAGCGGGGCCGTCTGACAGCTGACAAGAAACAAATGGCAGTCACTGCATTATAAGTTGTTCCATATTTCAGTGGTGAACCTGCGATGTTTTTGGCCAGAAGTTTGTGATATGCAAACTTTGCAAATCCCAGATATTTGTTATGTACCCGAACCTCATCCCTAATTTTAGATATATCTCCATTGAACACCAGATTGTATATAGCCAGGTGCAGGGTGCTGCAGCAACTGGCCGATGGCGCCACACCAATCAGATGAAAATTTGTAGCCAGCACACCTTAAAGTGATATTAAAGCTTGCATTTTTATAAGTTATTTCAGGTGTTATTGAAATAATTTACCATTTGTTCTTTCTTGTATTGCCTCCTCCTTTCTATGGCTGCAACCAACTAATCGTTTAATTCATAATCGATAATGAGAATAGTTGTCAACTCTTCTCATTATCATTTAGTTGGTTGGATCCTCTGGCTCACTCCTCCACGCTGCGAGGAGGGCACAGGAAGCGGTAGGCAGGTGCAATAGCCAGCCTGCTATTGGCTAGTGCAATTTAAAATAGCCAATAGCAGGCTGGCTATTGCATCCGCCCACTAACTGCTGTATTTACATTCAGTTGCCTTCTGCAGAATCTTGCCACTGACAGCTGTCATTTTCTGGCTGAAGCTATTCAAGCGCCATGTGCTTAGAATACAATTATTACAAAAAATAATTATAAAAGGTGGGCAAAAAGTCATGTTTTTGGTTTCGGCCTGAGAAGTCCTGCTGCGGGAGGTGCATTGCAGTGCCATTCATTTCAATGGCACCCCCAAACGTGCCTCCCACCCACAGTGTGATCACCCCCACACTTGAAGGCACAGTACCGCAATGCAGTGCGTTTGCAAAATTTGTACATGCAGTTTTATTCTGATGTAAACTTTGTGTGTAACACTGCATTTGTGTCTTTTATTTTAAATTAAGGATGATATTTATTTCATTTTTTTCCAATTTATCTAAAAAATAATTGGCCAACTAATCGATTATGAAAATAATTATTAGTTGCAGCCCTTCTCCTTTCCATCCAGAATCAGCTTGTACGTGGGCGCTGGTCCAGATGTCTGCTCCTAGGGTGTCTCCTTTTCCTAATAGGGTCCTGTGGAGCAACCTGTGCACACGCTCTCAGCTCGAGCTATGGATGAGTCTTCTTGTGTTGATTAGAAATAGACAGCACTGACAAGAAGCCCCTTCCCTTCTCTTCTCTGTGTGAGATATCTAGTGGTTGGGGTCTACGCAGTCCCTAGTGCATGTGAAGCACTTAGGCTGGGTTCACACCTAGGCGTACGGAATATGCGCGTTTCGTGCCGTGCGTTTTGTACTGCGATTTGCGCTAACAAAAACCCGTGCGACAAACGCTTCAGAGGGCTATCCGGCTGTATCCTAATGGATACGCGCGGCAAATACGCCCCAAAGAAGCTCCTGTACTTCTTTGGGCGTAGGGCGTTTTGCAGCGCGTTCCTACGTGCTGTAAAACGCCCAAGTGGGAACCATGCCCATAGGCAATCATTGGTTTTCACATGTTGAGCGTTTCACAGCGCGTAGGAACGCGCTGTAAAATGCCCAGGTGTGAACCAGGCCTTAGGGTGTGTGCTCCACTACCCAGATGTTCGAGGAAACACAGTGCTGTGGACCTGGCTGCGGTGAATGTTTTGTTTGGCGCACACATAGAGAACAAAAATGTACTCTGCCATGTTTTATTTGTTGCCGGGAATGCATTCAGCTAGAAAAAAGCTGGGTGTTTAATACCAATTTAATCTTCTGAAGCAAAAGAGACACTTTTATTGACATTCACTCAGCATGTCATACAGCAAAGTGCATCATTTTGAAACCACTAGAGGTCCCTTCATCATACAAAGTGACATGGCATCACCTTGCCCAATAAAGGGTCTCTGGGTGGTTCCAGAAACATTGCACTTTGCTGTATGACATTCTGAACAAATGTCAAAGGCGACTCTTACTGCAGAAGATTAAGGTGTGCTAACCCCATATTTCCATTTCCTCTCCTTTTCACAAATGTAAGCTTCAGCTTCCCTCACCGTTCTCTGTATTCTGTCACATAATGTCTCCGAGCTGCAAAAGAAGTTGTTGCTGGAAGAGCTAGTTTTCGTAATTGCTGGTCTGAGCAGGGAGCAGATAGCTTTGTAATGTCTCCATATCTGTCACTGACTGCGGGCACCGCTCATTTTGGTGAAGTATCTTCACATATGGCTACCAGCACAACATACACTGCCTGTCGGAAAAAAAAGTCACTGCCTGTCGAAAAAAAAAGTCACCGCCCGGATTTAGCTAAGTAAAGAGGTCAGAGCCTTCCATTGGATAATAGGGTCTAGGTTGAGCAAAGTTATATCCCCAAAAATGAGGTCAGCTGCTTATCTCGGTATACTAAATGACCAGGTTTGTCAATCAATTAATTTTTTCTTCCCTGATGGCACAGACATATTCCAAGATGACAATGCCAGGATTCATCGGGTTCAGGTTGTGAAAGCGTGGTTCAGGAAGCATGAGACATAATTTTCACACATGGATTGGCCACCACAGAGTCCAGACCTTAACCCCATTGGAAATCTTTGGGATGTGCTGGAGAAGAATTTACACAGTGGCCTGACTTTCCCATCATCTCTACAAGATCTTAATAAAAAAAATAATAATACAACTCTGGATGGAAGTGAATGATGTGACATTCCATAAGCTTATGGAAACAATGCCACTGTGAATATGGGCCGTAATCAAAGCTAAAGGTGGTCCAGCGAAATATTAGTGTGTGCGACTTTTTTTTGGACATGCAGTGTAATAATGATAATAAATAATCTGTGCTAATGGAAGCAAATAAATGGCATCAAAAAGGTTTTAAGCTGCTACACTAAGGCTGTCGAGCCTCAATAAGTTATTAATATAACGGTACAGCTCTCAAAACCTTCCCGTGAGGTGTGCATATAAAGTGCCTAAATATGAATATTAAATATATACAAAATATATAAATGTGCAAAACCAGTGAAACATATGGGACTGATAAAAATTAATCACACCATAAAAATTGATAAAAAAACATGATCAGTCCAAAAAACAGTCCAATTCATAATAGTGAAAATTTGAGAAACTTTTAAGTGAAAGAAAGAAAGACTCCTTCCAAATCCAATCCAGTGCAGATCCAGCAACTTAGTGTCAAACCAATTCAATGTGTTCCGATACTTAGTGCTTCTCCACGTGCCCAAAAAAGCTCCCACAATGGGTATGCACTCACCACAGAGGCTGACTGTATGTTAACAAAAACACGTTTAGTAAGTCAAAGAAACTTCAAGCGTCCTCTCATACTCCAATTCTTTAAACGTGTTCATCCCCGATATTCAGCCATAACAAAAGCAAATTGAAACCCTCATGGTGCAGTATTTAAAATGTATTATTCAAGAAAAACAGTAAAAACTCATATTTAAAATTGTATCAGGCTGCCGGCTACCGCGTATAACTCCGTCTCCTGTGTGACGTCAGAAAGACCCGCCCGTCAAATGCGTCAGAGGCAGAGATCTGCTTCTCCAGCTTCTGAAGCCAGAGATTGACAGCTGAATGCAGAAGTGATATAATATATATCACTTCCACATTCTGACACCAGAGAGGCGTGTACCGATCTCCCTCTGATCCCCCTGTCACAGAGCCACTGTGCTGGTCCCGGGTGTGGCCAGGCTCAGTATACACAGCTGATGTAGTCAGGAAAGGTGATAAGGGGGTGTGACAAGGCTCATTATACACAGCTGATGAAGTAGTCAGGTAAGGTACTGAGGGGTGTGGCCAGGCTCATTATACACAGCTGATAAAGTAGTCAGGAAAGGTACTGAGGGGTGTGGCCAGGCTCATTATACACAGCTGATGAAGTAGTCAGGAAAGGTACTGAGGGGTGTGGCCAGGCTCAGTATACACAGCTGATGAAGTAGTCAGGAAAGGTGATGAGGGGGTGTGGCCAGGCTCAGTATAGACAGCTGATGTAGTCAGGAAAGGTGATGAGGGGGTGTGGCAAGACTCGATCACACAAAGCTGATGAAGTAGTCAGAGAAAGGTGCTGAGGAGATGTGAAAATTCCCTGGTGAGCAACTTGAAGGATAAGGATCTGTGGGCTAGGACTATGCAGGTAATGGTAAGGATTTGTTCACATGTGTTTGTAATAAACATCTTACTTGCATCTCTGATGCAGTTTACAGCACAATATGCATTTAATTGCACTTAGAACACACTGAACCCCCAACACAATTGGAGCACCTGCACTCCTTCTGCCCCAATCCAAAGTTTTACCTTGCTTGACCCATTTTTTGGAGCTCTGCTGTAAAGAAAATACAGAGGTTGTTGTCACCCTTCTCCTGAGAATGCTAGTTGCCTGGCTGTCATGCTGATCCACAGGCATCAGTATTTTAAATCACTGACCAAAATGTGTTGCCATATCTTGAAAGTCTGCTAAAGTTGGAACTCCTGATGACCATACTTGTAAATATGTAACTCAAAGTATTTACTAATGGGGTCAGTATGACAACCAGGAAAATATCATTTTCAGAAGGAAAGGTCAGCAATGGTAAGCATATTTCTATCAGTACAGCTTTTCTGTCAGATTGGGAAGATTATAGTTCTCCTTTAATGTGACTCTTTGCTTTTCTTTGCTTAGTATGGGGAAAGTACAAGTACACTTTAACTGTGCTGCTCTATAATTGGAAGCTGTTATGCACACTCAGAAGCTGTGAGACAGCGTGTGAGGTCAGACAGTTGGTGCTTCAGATGACCTCATATTTCTGACTTTTAAGCAAAAGCATGTATCCTCATTTTAAGTATAATTTGCTTCTTGTTTCTGCAGCCGGTGGTATCATCCTGAAGTATCTCAGTGATCAGAACAGACCATACAGCACTCAGGATGTGTTCAGTAACCTGCAGAGAGAGCACGGCCTGGGCAAAACTGTGAGTAAACTCAATCCAGAACACCGGTATTAGTGGAGACACCATGTATAGGGAGTATCAACTTCCAAAATATTGGTTTCCATTTGGGAAATAACAGACCCTCTGATACTTCCCAAAAGCCCCCACTAGTAAAAAAAAAAATGAATAAATAAACCCCCCAATGTCCCACTCTCACATAACGGGCACACACACTACACACATTGCTTTGTTACTATGGATCACAGTGCTTGGGTTTTTTTTCTTTAATTGCATTCATTTAACTATATGCGTTGGAGCACATAGTAACACACAGAGGGGAGTTTATCAAAACTGGGGCAGAGAGAATCTGCAACAGTTGTCCATGGCAACCATTCAGCTTCCCTCTTTTATATTTCCTGTTCTTATATTAAAATATATTGAGATATAGGGTTGCTGGTTTTATCACCCTATTCAGAGGTGGTGGTATCAAATATATAAATGATGGTACAAATTATAAGGATATAAGGTATGCGATGTGATGCTGCACACATCATTTTTTCTGAAACCCTTTTTTCTATATCTAAGATTTACGCTCTGTTCACACCTAGGCGTATCGAATATGCGCGCTTGTTGCGTGTTTCGTGACGTGCATTTTACCGCGCTTCGCGGTAAAAAAACGCGCCAAACGCGTGTTTCCGATGGCTACTTGGCTGTATCCCAATGGACACGCGACAAAAACGCAGCAAAGAAGCTCATGTACCGTTTCAGGAGTAGGCCGTTTTGTAGCGCGTTCAGACGGGCTGAAACACGGCAAGGTGTGAACCATACCTATAGAAAACAATGGGATTTTCATGTTTGAGCGGTTTGTAGAGCGTTGAACGCGCTACAAAACGTACAGGTGTGAACCAGGCCTTTTTTTTTTTTACTGGAACGCATCAAAAACGCGGTCAAAACGCACTGCATCAGTCTGCAGATCAGGACCTGATATCATGTGAACAGGCCCTTAGGCTGGGTTCACACCTAGGCGTATCGAATATGCGCTTGTAATTTGTTTTGTTGCAGGCTAGCTAGCAGGTGTGCTGGGGATTCTTTTTGTTTTGTATTGTTGTAAGCCTTCCCATCCTGCTACAAAGGCTGGTTATAAATGTATGCGGTTACCATCTTTTTCTAGAGAGAGCCGCTCGGCCCGGATCTGACAGCCGGTGTCTCTCTCTCTCTCCTCACCGCTCGACCATGCTGCTGTGACAGCGGCTCCCCCTGCGGCTGAAGTGCTCCCTTCACTTTTCCTCGGTTCCCCTGCTGCCTCTGCCCGGGAGAGCAGCGGGGATCCAGAAGAGAAGCTGCAGGCTGAGCCCCCCTGTGTGCGTGGCCGAGCGGCAGAGGATCGGTACATGCAGGGCAAACACTGGAGCGATCAGCTGATCACTCCAGTGTTTGTAAATAACTGGGGACACATAGTACTGTGTTTTTTTTTTTTCTTGCCTCATGCTTAAAAGGATATAGTTACGGCTATGCTCCCACGGTGCCAGTGTGGCTGCCGGCTGAATGTTTTAGACGTCGCAGACAGAAAGGGGCAGGACACCCGTGTGCAACGTCGGCCATATTTGGACACACGAGCACCACGGGAGGACATGACGCCGCCGCCTCTAGAACGTGCTAGAATGCAAGCCGGCCGACTCCCTGCGTTCAGGGGCGGGAGGGGGCGTGGGGTTGTATTGAAGTCAATGGCACCGCAGCCATGTCCCCTCCCACCCCTGAATGCAAGTGTTTTTTCGTTGGTAGAGCTCATTGAGCTCGTCATTTGAAAAGTATATCTCCAGACGAAAAATTGTGGGCGCCCCTGTCCTATCACCTCCCCACACTACAAAATAAATGTGCTTTTGCTGCCATAGGAAAGGAGGAAAATATACGCAACGGGGACAAAGACAGCAAGAGAAATGTGTCAGTTCTAACCCTTCCCCATTCTACCCAGCATTAAAATTGCCTGAATATGGGCTTTCGAATGAACATATTGCTTTGACCTCCATGGGCAAAGGGCAACTTCAGTTTAGGCATATTCTAAATAATAATTACTATTAGAGACATGGCAGTGAAGTGGCAGGAACAATATATACTGTATATGACCATATGTTCTCTTCTTTAGGCTGTTGTTAAAGCAATGGAACAGTTGGCTCAGCAGGGGAAAATCAAAGAGAAAGTTTACGGCAAGCAGAAAATCTACTTTGCAGACCAGGTGAGCTGAAGAAACACAATTCCACTGCTCTGGTAGTCCAGCTGATGTCCCCATGAATAACAATCTATAGGCATTTTTTACTGTCATTTAGGAGCAGTTTCCCAGTGTGAGTGACTCCGAGCTCAAGAATCTTGATGCCCAAATCTCAGAACTGTCTATCAAGCTGCAGGGCACCCAGCAGAGCTATAAGCAGCTAGAATCAGGTTTGTCAATGACTTCTGATTTTGTTTCTGTCACTTCTCATGCTTGGCAGATCTATGCTTAGTGTTAATGTAAACAGCAACAATCCCTATGTTTCTTAACTTTCGGGGCCGATGTAAAAATCTTCTGCCCAACATAAAGCTGGGCGCTGTTCACACAGCATTACCGCCACTAGACCGAGTCGGGGAATTTCTGTACTCATTGGCACATATGCCATGTGGTCATCATTCGCCCATCTTTACACTGGGCAGAAGATGTATACATTATCATACCCTTGATTTCTGGTCCTAATCTACTGTAGGTGGTGGCCAATATCTTTCAGTAGCCTCAGGCATTCTTAACTGATGTCACGTGATCGTGGATTTGGGCGGGCGGTGAGTGTGGGGTGCGGAGGAGGTGCGGAGCGTGGATGCGGGCAGGTCTGGCAGCGGCGAGCGTGAGGTGGGGAGGAGGTGTGGTGGAGCCGTGAACAGGGCCAACCAATCAGAAGCCGATCATTCGATTATTGAAAAAGTTGACAACTTTTTCAATAATCGATTATGTCGATTAATTGTTGCAGCCCTAGTCACGGAGCATGTGTTTAGTAAATGATTTTGTATTGTTTTTGTAAAATGTTGCTGAGGCCATTGCAGTGTTTGAAAAAGCTTCTGCCACCTATTGTGCGTTACCTGGCTGGGGGGTGGGTGTGTGCGCCCTAAACATTTTAAAAGCTCTCTGTCCTCCTCACATGGGGGCTTCCTGTGTGTCAGCCATGGGCTGTGTGGATGCAATAGGGGCATTCTTTGTGTAGACTATTTTAAACTCAGTCCTGGGTACTGCAGAGTTGAGGAATGTGCTTTGTGATCATTAGCTGAGTGTTTGTAAATAAATATGGATAATTGGGCCTGGAATCTCATTCCTTGTTTTGTGATCCTTGACAACTGACTTCAGAGTAGAGAGGCGGGGGAGATTCTGGTCTTCCTAATTAATATTCTCGCCTGCCAAACATCAAGAAGGTCCTTGAGAAACCTGGGAACCCCTTTCTTAAACTGCGTATTCTGACATCAGCAGTGACCTTGGCATCAGCTAAATGAAGCTTGATCCACCAACAAACAATCGGGCTATCCTGGTCAAAAACTTTTTTTTAGTTAAGAAGACCTGTTTTCCTAAATATTGGTAAACTTTTTAAAAAAAGTATGCATGATGCCCCATACCAAGTAAGTGCATTTTCTTATGTCTCATAAATGTGCATTCAGCTCACAGATTGCTATGTGTAAAGTTTATGCAATCATTTCACTATGGTCCATCTAGTGGCCATAATGCAGTATTACCTGATATTACATTCGACCTAGAAAGAGGATATATATTAATTATATACTATTTTGTAGGGTGAATGGCTGCAAAGTGTTTACAAATACACCTCCTAGAGAAGGCAAAATGTATTGTCACTTTTTTCTCTCAATACCTGAAGGGAGCTTGTTCCTGGCTAACACTCTCATAAGTACATTTTGTATTACAACAGTGAAATGAATGCATAAACTCTCATATCTGATTCCATTTATATTTTATCTCTGTACAATCCCTGTATACAAAATCTATCCCCTTGACAATACGTTTTACCTTCTCTACCTGTGTACACATACAATACCTTATGTCTTATGTAGAGCTGAAAGATTTGAACAGCTCAATGACCACTGAAGAAATGCTAAAAGAAATTAAGGAGCTGAAGGAGGAATGTCACAGATATGAGGAAAAATTACAGAAGATAAAATCTGCAACCAATCATGTTACACCAGAAGAGAAGGAGAAGGTAAGACTTCATTGCTAAACATTTTTGGCTATCTTTTTTAAGATGTATTCATCTTATTTATTTTTGTGTTGCCCCGTTCCAGACATCTGTAGCCCTCCAGAAATAGTATTTAGTTTATCGATCGTGGATTTGGGCGGGCGGTGAGCGTGAGGCGCGGAGGAGGTGCAGAGCGTGGATGCGGGCAGGTCTGACAGCGGCGAGCGTGAGGTGGGGAGGAGGTGTGGCGGGCAGCGTGTGTGGAGCCATGAACAGGGCCAACCAATCAGAAGCCGATTAATCGATGATTGAAAAAGTTGACAACTTTTTCAATCATCGTTTATGTCGATTAGTTGTTGCAGCCCTACTAAAATGTAAACTGGTTGCTCTTCTTGTTGTTTTCCGCATACAGTGGTGGCTGATGAACCTTTTTGAATCTTTTATATTTTTGTATACATGTGACCTAAAACCAGATCATGAGACCCCAATTAAACAACCACAAAATTAATGTTTTTTACTGTATTTATTGAGGAAAACGATGCAAAGTTACTGTACACATTTGTGTGTGGAAAAAGTATGAGTAGCTTTGCTTTGGGTAATTGGTGTGCTCCCCTTAGGTAGCTATAAGAAACTAAACACCTCCGGTACCTGTTGACCCGTTCTGCATGTCAGCTTGGAGGAATTATAACCCGCTTCTCCTTACAGAACAGCTTTAAATCAGTGTTTTTGGTGGGCTTCCTCACTTTAGATCCTTCCACAACATTTCTATAGGATTAAAGCAGAACTGAAGTCAATTCCAAAAATCATTGTGCTTGTTGATGTCAGCGGGCCTCTGACCACTGGAGCAGATGGGGAAGAGGCTGTGGGTGCTGGTTTTGTAGCCTGAAGGAAACCTACATTACCCACCAAAGTTTTTGTATACTGTTTCTACAGATGCTAAAGAATTATTTCCACAGCAGGTGATCTTTGTAATATGTTGGTTATCTTCTATCCCCAGGTGTGCAAAGACCGGAAGAATTTCTGTAAAGAATGGAAACAAAGAAAAAGAATGGTAAGGTGTAAGCAAGAAAGGGGTTGGGAATAGGATCAAGTTGTATGAGTGGCCCTCCACAAAAGACTTGAGGGCACAGCTTGTAATTGGAAGAAAAGAGCTTTAACATCCAATTGACAAAATCTAGAGCAGTTGTTCATGGCAACTAATCAGCTTCTCTCTTTCATTCTTAAGGGTTAGTTCACACCATAAGCAGTGCGTTCTGGTCCGATTCTGGCCGGAACGCACTGCCTCGCATTGCGGCCGGCTCACTTTTTTGTCGGGCGGGAGGGGGCACGGCGGGCCATTGAAGTGAATGGCACCGTAGCCACGCCCTCCAGCCGCAATGCGATCGCCCGCACGGGATCGCAAGGCACATTGTGCCTGCAGTGCGGTCCGGTGCAATCAACATGCTGCAAGCACTGTTTTGATCGCACTGTAGGTACAATATGCCTTGCGATCCCGTGCGGGCGATCGCATTGCGGCCGGGGGGCGTGGCTACGGTGCCATTCACTTCAATGGCCCACCACGCCCCCTCCAGCTCAGCAAAAAAGTGAGCCGGCCGCAATGCGATGCAGTGCGTTCCGGCCAGAATTGGACCGGGCTGCATTGCACATGGTGTGAACTAACCCTTAAAGGAGAACTATGAGGTGAGTGCTCTTCACTCACCTCATAGTTCTAGCCGACCTGTGACAAGGAAACTGTCACAGGTCGGCTCAGTAGATCGGGGTATACTGAGCCTAGGGTGATGGGAGGACGCTAGTTTGTGTCCTCCCGTTACCCTAAGGAGAACTATGGGGAAAAGACTTAACCCCATAGTTCTCCTTTTAAGCTTACCTGAAAAGAGAAGGTGATTGGTTACTATGGACAGCTGCTCCAGATTTTGTCTGCTCTAGTTTCAATAAATTTCCCCCAGTGTTCTTTACTGTAAGAGCTGAGAAAATGTGGAATAGATTCAGTAGTTTATTTTTTTTTAAAAGAGTTGTTTTTTGAAGAACAGAATATAAAGGGTTGGTTAGAATTATTGTAGTACATAGTGATCCGGGGAGTCAGCAAATGTCTATGGGAGTGAAGAAGCTGTATTTACATTGTTAAAGCAAGTCCATTATACTTTGGGTCAGGAGTTTTGAAAGTTTTTTTTCCCCAACCCTGAAAAGGCTAAAGCACAACCTGACGTTCATCTGCCTTAAATGTAGCTTTTGCAAAACTGTGCTATGGCAAACCAAACAGATGTGCTGCTTTTAGAAATGTTCCTGAACCATATCGGAGGGATCTCGCACACAGTCTGGATTTATACACTATTCGGAAGTTCTAGTCATATTTGTAGCAAAAATGTGTACATGTTGCACTACTTTAGCATATAAAACAACTTGAATAACTGTTCAACAAAGTATTGTGATAATATATAGACTAAAAAATCAAACAACAAAAAAGGATGTGTAAAAAGTCACATGTGTAAAAGATGACACCAAGTCCATTTCAAGTCCAAATAATCTTGAAAGTGCAATAGTTGAATCTGTGTGTATATTCGTGATAAGAATTCACCAATCAATGGACAGACTGTCATCTGGTAAGAAAGACCTTATTGTAAAGAAGGTCAGGAAGTACTTTGTCCCAAATACAGGTACTGTATCTACAGGTGAAGGCTGATAGAACGAGTGAAATCTTTCTTCTAATGACCCGTCACATAAAAACAGGTTCTTTATTCAGCCGCTGATTAGTTTTAAGCATTACTGTTCTCAAAGCAATCACAAAAAAACTTCACATGTATTTCATGTAATAAAAAAAACATATAAAATGCACTTCCATAGATTAGTACACCAGGAAAAACAACTTCCATATATTGGGTGAGTTTATCTTAGCTGATAATATCCAATGTAAACATGAAGTGTCACTTCCCCACGCTCAATGTCTGTAGCAGTCAGTTCAGGCACATGTGATGATCGCCACATCTTAGACTTGCTAGGCACTCTCCATCTTTGATCTTCTCTTACCTCTTCTCATCTTACTTCCTGCCCTCTTCATCCTATTCCCTTACCCCTTGTTCTCTCAGTATTGCCAGAGCTAATTCCCACTTTACTAAAACAATCCTCTCTCTGTTCTGTTATCCTCCACTTATGTACTTGTAGCACCTGGTAACGCTGTAGTTTGATGCTTGCACCTCCTTAACTTCTCTTAACTTTCTTCCTCCAATGCCCTTTTAAATTCATTAGCCCTCGCTAGTACAGATTCACCTGCATTCAGCGGAATACTATGGGGTTCTCTTCTATCCTCCCTGTACACTGCACCCCTGGGAATATTCAGCTATAGCCTTTGCTTTCAATAACCACTACAAAAGGGGAATGGTCAGGACAACCTTTGTCAGGTTGTTGTTGCTCAAGCTATAAGGAGAGTGCCAAACAAAACAAACTAAATATCTTTTCAATATATACTTTATTTTTGCAATAGCCCGCTATATGCTGATTTTTGCGTCAAAGGAGGACATTAGTAAATGAAAAAGGATATACTCGCCTGAACCTCACAGCTGGCTGGCTGCTAGACCGGTCCCGGCAGGCTGTCTCCCACACACACTCCTGTCAGGTTCTTCTTGCTGGCTGTGTCCCCATTTGTCCACGTTGCCGCCATAACACGGTGTGTGGTAAAATATCTTCAGGCTTTTTCTTTGTGATCAGAGCCACTCTTGGGTCCTTATTGCTGTCTGTATTAACATTTTCCATTTCCTTCCTGTCCCAGTACTATAGTGAGCCACAGTGTCATCCAGAATGGATGAGAACATCTTCTTCCTAATGGGGACATAGCTAAAGCAACAAACATGACCATTCCTACCCCTTCTCCAATAACGTAACACTCTTATCGCTTCCCTCTAATGTAAGCACACCAAAGCAGGACCATGCCTAGTTCCTCTGTCTACTAACACTCGTGTACCTGGAAGGACAACATGTCCCTTGTTCATTTCCCCTCTATTCACCCCACATTACTGCCATCTCTTCAAATCTCCACTGCCTAAGAGACGTCTAATACTTTTTTTTTCTTCTATAACAGGCTATGGACATATTTGATGCTATCCTTGAAGGTTATCCTAAAAGTAAGAAGCAGTTCTATGTAAGTCACACTTTATTTTCATTCAAGCATTTGTAACCCCAATGACTGAATGAAATATTCCCCTTTACCAGGTACACTATTTTTTTAAACTTGGCTTTAATGTGTATACTGAGCAGAATGGAAAACCTTATGTGGGACAGAATAATGGACTAGTGTATTCATATCAAGCGTAAGACTGGCGATTTCCCCCTGGGCTCAGGCTGCTTGTAAGGAGGAATAAGCCTGTTCCATCAGTGATAAGAGGATGGCCCTAGAATCTGTCCTGTTGTACTCACTCTCACCCTTGGTATACAAAGGATGATGTCTAGAGTTTGGAGAATTAGGGCACATCGGCATATTTCCATTGCAGTAACGCTCCTTAAAACATGCGGCTTATCGCAGCACATGCTGAAGCTCAAAAATCACAGTGCTGTTCATTTTGAATGGCACCCCAAGGCACTATTACAGTAGCAGACAACACACCTACATTGTAGCACACTACCTTGCATTGTGGTGTGCTAACAAGGTCATGAGTTAACATGCGCTGTTAGAAAACAAAACGCTACAAATTGCACTTTCTACATCACCTGGTTATACTGCCGCCTACAGGAGGTTGGGGAAATGGTAAACAGAAAAAGTTGTATGTGTGTCCCACACAGATTGGTGAGCACAGAGGATCTGCTTAATCCGCTCCATAAGAAATCTGCAAACATGTTTCAGCTACCGTGCAGTTCATATATGAATGACTTTGAGGGTTCTACAATAGAATTTCTTTCATCAGTAACTAGCCGAGTGGGAATCATGCGCAATATATATGTGTGCTTTTATATTTTAATATTGATTTTTTTGTATGTGTTTAATAAATGATATGTTTTATACATAATTATATAGTGGCAGGATTGCATTTATGGTGGGATCTCCCTCAATGGGGAAATGTGCCAATTCTATGTAATCTAGGGGACACACACTGCTGATATTTATGCTCTGGGACCCTCCTTCCCCAGATATATATTACTGTATTTGGTTGTGGTATACATTAGTTTCCACCATTTAAGTGAGTCTTCAGACAAAGGGCAAGCTCAGCCATTTGCAACAGTTCTGGACCTGGAAAGTGCTCTGTGGCTAACTTGTTTCATAAAACTAGTACTGGAAAGCACCTTACGTAGAACCCAGTGCTCGAAGGTCACTTCCAGGCTAGCCGCTCACATCTAGTCCAGTGGGGCCTCAGTATAGCACTCTAAAGCAAGGCTGAGGAAAGGCCAATCCGGATGTCTGCCATTGTAGAGACCCGCTCAGGGAGGGATGTAGCAAGGATTGATTTAAAATTAAAAAAAAATTGTAAAATATGTTTACACTTTTTCCAGCAAAACTGAAGATGTCCATCCTCTGAGGACACTAGGGAAATCCTGAGTGAGACTGGGAATAGGGGGAGTTATCCTGGGCTGTGCTTTTTTCTTTGCTGGTGTCCAGTCCTTTTGTATGCAGCAGTATAACCCGACATTATACATCCTTCTGTGTCCCTTAATGGATGAGAGAGAAACTGCTTTATTTCTATCATCCGGCTTGTTCATTCTTGCAACAGCTGCTGGGAGCTTAGTTCCTATTGGTGTAGGCACACTGGTGGAACTGCATCTTCTGAAAGCCCTTTCCCTATACACAATGTGTGGGCAGGTTTATAGAAGTCAAGCAAGCAGAATTATTTTGCTAGGAGAGAAATTAGTGTATGCATGTGGAGTGTGAAGGGGAAGTCTGTAGACAAACAGGCAGGGCTGACCACAATGGTTGGCATTTCAGCGCAGCAAAGGCCCTGTGTTTTCAGCGTGAATGTGTTCCTTCTGATGCCCGTTGCTCTCCCACGCCTGTGTCAGCAGAGGCAGCGGGGAGCCGAGGGGACACAGACCGGCATCCATCGGGAAGGACAGAAGCTTTCAGGATGCTGAGCGGTGCAAGGGAGGAGTCAGCTGTCAGAAGAGGCCGAGCTCTCCTCCCTCCCCCACTTGGCCTCCAGTGACAGAAGAGTCAGGCTGTAGAACAGGTTACAAACACTCAGTTATTTACAAACACTCAGCTGATCGCTGAGGACACAGTATGCTTACTGCGTCCCCAGTTATGAATGAACAGGAGGTACTCTACTTCCTGTTCATCCATGATTGTGGACATAGTAACTGATACTATATCCAGTTTATGAATGGACAGGAGCACTCAGTACAGAGGCTTCCTGTTCATTCATAACAGGGGCTGCAGAAAAAGAGATTGAGGACTCTGTTCTCAATCCCTTTTTCTATTTTAAAAGGGAAATATCAGTCTGTTTAGACCCCTAATATTTTCATAGAGCCCCTCACAGTATAGTAAAAAAAAATGTTTTAAAAGGTTGGGAAGTCATTTTCGGTTTTGGCCAAATTTTTAATTTCGGTCTAAAAATTTAATTTCGGTGCATCCCTACTACTTACCAATGTAACTGGAAATTGTGTTGCAGGAAGAAGTTGGCGTTGAAACAGATGAAGATCACAATGTGACTCTGCCAGATATCTGACCACCTGGCATACAATCTAATGTTTGCATTCTCAGTGATGTAAAGAAAAGTGTTTATTTTTATGTAGACTAAAACTTGATTCCAGAGCCATGTCATTGGGGGGAATCCGTTACCTTTGTGAAAGTACTAGGAGCTGCTGGTTTAGTGGTACAGTACTTTGTAAAAAAAATTTGTTCAGGTAACCTTTCAGTTCTATCCAGGCCTTCACAAAGCTCATCAAAGACCTGATTGTTTATAATGTTGTTCAGCGTTACCAGTACTTCTTGTGAATCTCTTCTGCAGACTTGCTTAATTTTGTAACAGTTAGGGATGTTCAGATACCAGTGCCGATACTTGCCATTTTCACAAGAACTACCAGGGTTGCAGCTGGGACCTGGCTCTGGCGCTCCACCACTGTCCTGAAATCATGAGTCTGTATTGTTTTAGAAAAACTGTCACATGACACTAAATAAAAATGTATCAGTACTTGTATCTGAGTACTTGGACAAGTATAAGCACTTGGGAAACAAAAATGGGGTCGATGCAAGCCGAATATATATTTATAAAAAAAACTCATACATTAAAACAGAGATGCCCAAATCTCAGGAGCTCCGTAAAAATGACAGCTGCCTCCTAACTTTTACATTTTTTCTCTAGTCTGGTCTTGGAGCAGGAAAATTATCTGTACCTGTACTTGTACCGAATACGGCACTTGGTATCTGAACATCCCTAGTGACTGTTAATGTTTGTGTCTGGATTCAGTAGTGCAGCATAGTGATGGTCTGGCACACAGAGGAAGTGTCCATTGCAACAGATGGGAAGATGAGTTTAGACAACCGACGCATACCATGGACAATATTGCTCGGACCTTGAGCATAAAACGATCAAAATATATACCCGTCCAAGTGCACCTGTCAGCATGGGTGTAAAGCTGGCCATACACCTTACAATTTATCTGCAGATTTTCTAGGGTCAGATGGAAAAGATGCAACAGATTCCTCCATCTACATTTAACTGTGTGGCTGGAGTAATATCCACCTGGGCCAATCTGTAACACTTTTTCCATCTGACCACAGAAAATCTGCAGATAATTGTAAGGTGTATGGGCACCTTAAAGCTCACGTGATAAGGTTGTAAAAATAAACTAAAGCGAAGACACTATCCATCACACCACCATCCACAGGAGTCTGCCCATTCCGAGAAGTGGTCTTGGAGTAGGCACATTACTGCATGATGTTGTACAGCTTTGCTCTGCTGACACTTGAACCACTTCCAAGGCTCAGATAAACAGCTAAACTGACGAAATACTACTTGATTTTTTTTTTTTATACACTGAACCAACAAAAGTTAATGAATAATTGTCCATCCTCCAAAATGCATGTATGTTTGTCTTGGTCCTCTTACACACATAAAGCTATGGTCTTTATTTTCCATGGCATACACTCATTCAGGTTTACTTTAATGTCCAAACCCTGACATTGAGTGATGTGTAAATGTCATGTTACAATCAGATGCAGTTGTAGAGTTCTACCAAAAAAAGCCAAGAGGTAATATTGACTTTAAAGCTGCTCTTTAAACCACTTGGTATGTTACATGTTTAGTACTGTGTAGCTGAGTGCCCAGTGTATACACCCTGCCTGCATTTGAAGGAGGCAGAGAGCAGCTATTGGACTGGTTCATTAAACTCTGTATGCAGCACTCCTGTAATATAGTCAAATGTGACCACCAGAAGCAGGACGGCTTATGTCCCATTGTCCATGGCAGGTATGTGCCCTCATAGGGTCCAGTAAGCCTTGCTGTGTTCTGCAGATGGCACACAGTACCAAAGTCCACAAAATGTAGTTGGAAATCAATTTTATGGGAGGCTGATGGACCAATTTACTGTAAATATACTTTCACACAGATTAATAAATGTTGTATATAGTTAATAAAAAAGCAAGTTGGAATTCAAGAATGTTTTATTTGGTCATTTTATACACAGAAATCTGAAACTTTAGAAAGAATGTACAAAAGTTTCTCTGGTACAAAGAACCAGCACTCTGAGGTTGTTAGATGACATTGAAAACTCTTAATTATAAATCAGCTGTACAAAGAATATTCACAGAGGAATAAATATAAAAAGGAGAAATGGCAAACAGTTTGAAGATACAACTTTTAAAAAATGCAGGTCTAGGAATCTCAGAAGCCTGAAGTTTACAAAGGTAACATTGATTCATCTGAGGCTGGGGTGTGTTAATATGGTAATAAATGAATGCTGCCACTAGAGGATGCCGTTCCACTGACGTGTGTCAGATAAAAGCAATACATTTATTATTTGTCTGGAGATTGTGACCATCTTCACTACTTAGCAAGTCACTGACCTGGCATAGCAGATCCAGTGTAGGAACATTACATGCACATTGTTTCAAGTCAGTGGCTCAGCTCATGATGACATCCTCAACATGTCAAACCCCATATTTCCATCCTTTAAAACTACGAACAGTGTTTAAAAGGAGAACTATGAGGTGAGTGAAAATCACTCACCTCATAGTTCAAGCCGACGTGTGACAATGAAACTGTCACACGTCGGCTCAATAGATCGGAAGTGAGCGAACACATACCGTCGCTCGCTCACTTCTCAATAATCTCCCTGCAGAGAGCAGTGACTGTCAGTCACGGCTCCCTGCAGGGATTCTCCCCTCTCTGATCCTCCAGCGCTGACTGGAGGAACGGATGGGGGAGGGCACAGCTGGCTCTGCCTCTAGATAGGCAGAGCACGCTGTCACTCACGCAGCTGGGTGGATTTCGACAGTATTTAGCGGATCCGCCCCGGCACTCTCAGTATACCGCGAGGTGTAGCTCGCAATATACTGAGCTTTGGGTTTCAGGAGGACGCTAGTATATGTCCTCCCATGACCCTTAAGAGAACCATGGGGGAAAACACTTACCCCATAGTTCTCTTTTAAAGGCTAAGCTTACTTTTCTGACCAGGTTTCATGTTACACCCATATTGAGAGGGTATCATGAAACATGGTCACATCACAACTCCCCCTTACCTGAAATACAGGGTTCTTCCAGGCTAGTGTGGATTTCTGAGTTTGGCGTGGCTTTGCCTTCATAGCCGCATCATCCATTCACAGATCCTTTGACAGGCTCTGTGGCAAGTCCCATCAGCTGCAGAGGCACTTGTACTTCTCAATACAAGAGTAGTGATTTTATCGCACTTGTAGTCCATTCATTCATTCTTCTTTCCTTCCATCCATCCATCCATGTTAATGAATGTTCAAGGGACAGGAGCAGGATCACAGGTGCAGCGCTTTGGATCCTTCAACTTCTATTGATTGTGGTTGCAATGCAAAAAAAAATGCAATTCTTTTCTTTTATGAAATGTGCATTTATTATTTTTTTTCTAAGATGGAATTTCTGTTTACTACAATTTAGGTTTCATTATCATTCTGTTACGCCTGACAAAGAGACTTCAGTTGATTTGAACAATTGCAGTTTTAGATTGGGTGCTATTTGCTGGCTGAGACTGGCCAATGTTCTCCAACCTCTGCTGCCATCACCCAGAGCTGGGTTTTCCCAGTGAATTCTGACTAGCTGGAGAACATTTGCTCCAGTCTGCATCCATTTTTGATAAAAATACAATAGCTGTATAAATAATGGTAGCGAGAAATATCTAGTCACGTGTTTTCCATTTTCACTTAAAAATAAAGTGCAACTCCCCTCCAACTGGGGACTAAAGTCCAGTAGTATGCCACCCCTGACACTCGCCTTGTTGCCACTTTACTGATGGGCTCAGACACTACTGGCTTACTCCTTATACAGCAAGCTGACTCAAACCGGCTGTATAATCTCACTGAAAGGATTTTACTTTTGTGCTTTTAAACAGCCTACCACACATGTGACATCATACACAAGCACCAGACTTCTAAAACTATAAGCAACTGGATCTCCTTTTCTTATTGCAACAATGAGTCAGAGGAGAGCAGCTGAAAAGGCATCATTCCATTCTGGAAGACTGTTTAAGTGATGTCCACACACAGACAATTCGTTCTTAAAGTGTAACCTTTAGTAACAACAGGATTGCAGGGAGCATGCCCAGGGCCAGTGGAGAAGATAACAGGAGGCCACGCAGCTTAGATTTCAGTGCATAGAGGACAGGGGCCTAGAAGACTGGTGTAGGTGGGTGAAATGTCCTACAAATATAAGGAACTAAAAGTCAAAGAAATGTCATCAACAGCATTTTTTGGCACGACTTATTGCAGAAGTAGCACCTCACAGAAGCCTGCGTGGTTTTACTTGTGCCAGAACTAGTTTTCTGGTGAACTCAAAACAAAGGAAGTTCAAAATGTATTACATATGTTTTCTTTTTACCAGAATGAGAAGCCCGTAATATATTCTAAATAACAGCGCAATGCCCCCATTAAGGAAGCTGCATAATACATTGTTTACACTATTTGGTAGCAAAAGCTTTGAGCTTTACAAAAATCACTGGCCAAAGCTGATCTTGGTGTCAGAGTTCCCATAAAGCCTTGGTTACCCATAATGCTCAGCGTCCACAGAGGTAATTGCTGCAGATCTGATGGCCAGAAACCATCTCATTCCCCTGCCAGACGTTTTGTCTCAGTAAAGTGGATTCTTCAACTGGTGCAGAACATGTCGTACAATCTCATGGAGAGTCTACAGGAAGACATGAAATCAAATTATTACAGCAGCAACAACATCCACTCTCCTAGACACTGCAAAGAGCTAGAACAACTACCCCCATTCCATTTGATAACCAATATGCTGGAATTCAGTAAAGATCACAGATTGATCAGAGAGAGTTACAAGGCTAAAAATATCGGCACAACATACAAGCGATCGCGCATCTCAACAGACGCCGGACTGCTTATATGTAGAAACACCATTGCTGGCTGTTTCAAATGTTGATAGTTTCCCGCTTGTGCACGGCACCGGGCACACAGGATGTTTTACGAAGCCCATCCACATCTACAAGGCTCGTGTCTGGCCGTTTTCCTATGTTTGGAGTACGGGAGAAGGTTAAGTGTAATTTTTACTGAACTTTTGGGTTTGATAAAGAGTTGTGCTAATATAATTTGACATAAACATGTGAAACTCTCCCTATATATAGTCTACCTCCCACTGTCCCTGCAGACAGTATAAACTCATAAAACTGTATTTAAACCCAAAACCAATAATGTCATATTTTACCGATTACAAAACCTAAGATTTGGTGCTGCATTAGTTTTCATTTTTCAGGCTAAGAACATTTTCAGCAAGTACAAAAAATACTGGTTGCTCTTGCCCAAAATGCAGCGTACCGGTCACTTCCTGGAAGTTTAGAAGAAAGCACAGACATTCTTATCTTTGTTGTATAAACAACCAATCCCATCAATCCACCATGTAATGGAGATGAACAAAGGCAGACATGTTTCAATCCCAACCATGGCTGGCTCTATAGATGCAGTGTAGACATGAAGGGACAGGTAGTATTGTATTCACAAGGTTTTACCATTACCAGGTGAAAATAAAAGGAAAAAAAGCCTAAAAAAGAAAAACTAATGCAGATGCCTCTTCTAAGGACCAGTAATCTATGACACGTTTGTGTTCTGAATCACTTTAAACATAAATGATTGGAAATGAATACCTGAGGTTTACAGTGCTCCTCAATCCAGCTGAAGACACACGCTGACAACTCCTGAAAACTGTTCACAGAGATTGAGGCATTGAAGGTCTGAAACAACGAGTCCATGACGCCTTGAAATACGCTGAACTTCACCTGGTCTGGCACTTGGTCTGTCCCTTCGTGAGGATTGTTCTGATGAGCTTTTACAATCTGCTCATAATTGCTGGGGAAACAAACAAAAAAAAAAAAACACTCCATAAAATACATTCCACATTTTAGAGGATTGTATGAAAGCAATATAACACAACAGACATGGAGAGATAGAGAGGATATGGAGATTATATATATATATATAGCCAGATTATTATGACTACCCCATCAGTACTTCGTTGGGCCGCCTCGTGACTCCACGAGATGTTGAAAGGTGATGCGAGGAATCTGACACTGCACTGTTGCCCTTCTGTTGTCTTGTACCAGTCTTGCCCCTCCCCCGTTCTGCCCTAACATTGACTAGTCGCTGACGGCCACAATTCGCACGCTCAGACCCAGATTTTCGGCTGACAGTCCAGTCTTTAAACACTTTAACAATGAGCCCCTCAAAACATTTAATTAATTCTGCTGTTTTGCCGATACTCGCTCCATGGCTCCGAGCGCCAACATTACATCTGCAGCACCAAAGTGGAATTTATTTCTTACATCCACATGTATAAAAATATACAAACGGTTTTGGACCAAGCTTTTAGACATGTGGATATGAGGAATACATTCCACTGTGGTGAGGCAGGGGGAATTTGTGGACTGTTTGCTTGTATAGAAGGAGATGACGGCTGGCTCTGTCTGCATGCAGATTCTGGGAAAGGATTCTAGGTGGGTGCTCCCTGCACATTATAATTAAAATCCATTCATCTACCCATATACACACAGTAAACTCCCCGTTATCTGGCATCCGAGGGGCTTGGTAGATCTTGGATAAATGTAGTTCCTGGTTACTTGAGAGTTACTATTCAAAATGGGTCTAAGTAATGCCATACCCCAAACTATACCATTCCATAACAAACTCTGTATTGACTTCATATTAATATTGAAATGCAGTAATCAATCAAAAGCAGATTAAGACAAATTTTTTAAAAAAAGGGTGTTAATTGATAAAGTATTAACAAAATGGAAAGTAAATGAACAGAAGAGAAATACAAATCAAATCAATATTTGGTGTGACCACCCTTTGCCTTCAAAACAGCATCAATTCTTCTAGGTACACTTCACACAGTTTTTGAAGGCACTCAGCAGGTAGGTTGTTCCACACATCTCGGAGAACTAAGCACAGATCTTCTGTGGATGTAGGCTGCCTCAAGTCCTTCTGTCTCTTCATGTAATCCCAGACAGAATCCATGATGCTGAGATCAGGGCTCTGTGGGCACCAAACCATCACGTCCGGGACATCTTTATGCTGAAGATAGTTCTTATTGACATTGGCTGTATGTTTGGGGTCGTTGTCCTGCTGTAGAATAAATTTGGGGCCAATCACACGCCTCCCTTATGGTATGGCATGATGGATAAGTATCTGCTGGTATTTTTCAGCATATAGGACACCATTGATCCAAGAATTGATGCTGTTTTGAAGGCAAAGGGTTGTCACACCATATTTTGCACTAATAGATATATATAAAAAATCAGGATCTCTCTGCCATAATCCACCTCTGCATGTTGGGTGTTCCCATGCACCTTTGCATGTTCTAGCACCTTCAGGAACATGCAAAGCAGCATGGAACACCCACCCATAAGTGGAAAAAAATTAAAATACTGGACAGAGAAAGCAGGAACCCCTCAATACGCATGGCAGATGTTCTGACCTGAAATTCCAATTGCAAATAGATCACTGATAAGAGTGCCATAGAGCTGGCTGGTGGTTTAACCCTCCAGGACCTACTAAAACTGAAACAGAGGCTTTGGGTGGAGTAACCCTTCAAACAACACGTATCCCCTTTAAGACATGTGAAACTTACGATTTCATAATCTTCAAGGCCATGACCTCTTTGCGCAAAGTAGATACTTCCTCCTCGTGTTTTTTTTTCTCTTTGTGAAGGAACTGGATATAATCAATGGCTGTAAGAAATGTAAATAATATCAGGTACAGAATTTTACAAGTTCTCACAGCACCAGCTATTGTCAGTTGTGTTGGACAAAGATGGACTAATATGAGCAATTCCCATGAGAACGTTTGCACTCAAAATGTGGATTTGAGAGCAGAAAATATCCAGTGCATCCACTAATGCAAATTTCATTTACATTTGGAGGAAAAGTCAGACCTATGTCAGGTTTTTAATCCAGTCTCTGTCCTTGTTGGGGAGGATTTCTCTCACTTCTTGTTCTAGAGACAGTAGCCAAATGGGGAGAACTCTCTAGAAACAGTGTTGAGGAGCAGGATGAGAAAGCAGGCAGCATCGGGGATAAAACAGGATAGTAGACATGAGGCAGTGGGGAGAGGAGATCAGACAGTGTAAGAGGAAAATATGAGGCAACCGGAGAACCATCATAGTAAAGGAGAGGAGGCAGCAGAGATCAGTCACAGTGGAATGGGATTAGAAGGAAGGCAGTAAAGGGGATCAACAACAGTAGAGAGGGTTAGGAGAGGAGGCAGCAGGAAATTGCTGGCGAGTGGGAAAGGAGAGTAGAAAGCAGGGATCAGCAATAATAAAAAGGAGGGGACAGAAGGCAATGGAAATCAGCAACAGAGGCGAAACAGGGGTTAGGAGGTAGCAGGTACCGGTGACTATGGAACAGAAAGGAATAGGAGGCAGCACCGATTATTAATGGTGCAGCAAAAGGATAAGGGTATAGAAGAGGAGGCAGCATGAATAAGTGGCAGGGAGGAGGGACTGCAGAAGAGACAGCAAAGATTAGTAACAATAGAGAGAGAGAGAGAGAGGAGAGAGAGAGAGAGAGAGAGAGAGAGGAGAGGAGGCATAAGTTCCACACAGAGTATTAATGTGTATGGGACAGATGATGCAGCACCCAGCAACTGTACACATATTAACCACTTGCTGCCCAAAGCAATTTCTTACATTTGCACACACACGATAAAATCTGACTTTTCGGCTAGAAAAACAGCTTCAGAGGCCTTGTAGAATAAAAAGATGCTAGTTGCAGTTTTTTATGTCGCACGGTAGTTGCGCAAAATGTTTATCAAACAATTATTTTGGGGATAAAATGCACTAGAATGAAATTTAGTGCACAGAAACAGAATATAATGCCCAATTTTTTGGTAAAATATAAAAGACGGGGGTCACGCTGGGTAAATAGACACCAAACATGTCAAGCCTTAAAATTGCGTGCGTCCGTGAAACCGCAAAAAACTACATACAATAACCAAAATTTCCTATAGGCGACGCTTTAGCGGCTCATCAGTTTAGTGCCAACAGTGATTGATGGGCCTGGAATTATTGCCCTTACTCCGACACTTGCGACGATATGGAACATGCTGGCGCAATGTTTGTTTTTGCACGTAGGCGCATCCTACGCGTGTTATCGTTGTATTTACATGTATGTGGGGGGCAGGGGACTTTTCAAAAATACGGCGCCGCACTATACAAGCGAGCCGGCGCCTGTACAGATGCCGGATCGCTTGTATTTAAGCAGCAAATCGTCTGCTGTTTAAAACGGTACCAAGAACACGGCCGCAGCAGCAGCAGCCGTGTTCTTGGTATAACCACTTCCAGCGGAGGACGTACATTTACGTGAACCCGCAGGAAGTGAAGAAGGGTTAAGTGCTTGTTTTTCCTAGGGGGCTCAAATAATGCTGTATTATTCACCTGATCCTGGGTCCCGGCGGCTTCCTCCAGACATGGACTGGTACTCACAGCCTCTTCTCTCCTGGGCTTCAGCAGTCTAAGGATCGCTGACATCTTCACATCTTATGCAGGTCCATCGATCTGCATTAGATATGAGGATGCCGAGGTACATTCCCTAGCTGGAGTGGAGGAAAGAGGTGCACGCTGACCACAGCGGGGCCAAGGTTCAGGTAAGTAACACAGCTTTATTTCAGCTCCCTAGACAAAACAAGCAGTGGGGTAGCCCCTGCACTGCAAGGGTTATGTTTTTCTTTACCCAGAGTTTTTTAATGCCTAGGATGGCAATACCCAGCCTCTGTATTGGGTTTATGAACACATAGGATGAAGTCTCCAGCTGATGTGGCCTGTGCTGCTCCATTCTCAATCTACCACACACTAAGCCTTGGTAGATTGGAAGGCTGTCAGGTTTCTGCAATTTCCTTGGCTACAGGTGACTCCTCCAATCTTGCATAAGCGCACAGTATAGAATGCATTTTAGATTAACACCTCTAAACCAAACTTACCACATCTCATATCACATCTCATATGAAACAATTCACAAAGGGAATGTTATTTTTGCTACTTCTGCTAATTGAACTTTCGCATTAGTAGAGATTCCTGTGGAAGTGGCATAGAGGTTGCATACATTATCTAATTACATCACTTCCGTTCCGCATCACTGAACCCAACGTCGGATTTGCAAACCGTGGTATTACTCTCGATTGATCAGTGGTAATAGCTTCAAACATAAGTTTTGTTTACTATGACAAATTAAGTTCCGTAGAAGGTTTGTGGGAAATTCTGATCATGTATACTCTTCTTAACACTATGAGGAGAATTTATCAAAACTGGAGCAGACAAAATCTGGAGCAGCTGTGCATGGCAACCGCTCCAGTATTGATAAATTCCCCCCTTCCTGTGTAATCTCATGTTACCAGGAAACATAACCCATTAGGAAATTGATCTAATTAACATAAACCAATTAGGACTACTTTGTCTGTTGCACATTTCCTAATGACATTTCTTAAGGACAAGACTGTGAGTCATCAGTTCACTAGTTTCGTATATCTCTTGTTTGGTCATTGCCACCGAACAATAAGGACAAAGAAGGCAGACTGGTGTGTAGTAACTAAAAGTAGCTAATCACACAATCACTGTCAGTATTGCACAAGACTGGGGAGGTTTTTACATTTGGTACTTACTCTTCTGCAGAACAACAGCCTTGCTGAGCTTCTGGGAGCCTATGGAGCAGTCCTGTGACTGACATGTAGGCACTATAGTCTGTAAGTCATCATAGCCTTTCTGCAAGAGAGAAATATGTTACTTCATCCAATTCTCATATACAGTATAGTGATAGTACAAAGCCACACGTATCAAATAATGGTGTTTTCACCAAACAGAAGTTCCTCTGCACTTGCAGGTTAGGGAAAGCTGGTGTGACTTCTGTGTTGCCAGGAGACCAACATATAGAATAATATAGCAACAGATTATATTCAATCATAAAATCACTTTTCATTTTTATATTGGCAATAATAAAATTGTAGCATCACAAGAGTATATCCTTGGAGGAAATGCTTAGCATTAGCAGACAATTTGCTTTGTGCAATCTAGAGCTGGCCGTATTCACTACAATATGATTGTATAAAGGCCCCAAGATTTACCACTATGTGGCTGATCACAGGCTGAACAAGAAAAAACTCCTGATTTTCCTCCACCACCAGGATGTTGTATTCTGACAGTGGCGGGAGTGCCTCCTTCAGAGTATCCAAACAGTGAATGCAGCGATTTGTCTGAAGTCACTGTGTGGCCAAGAATTTTTCAGACCAGCTTTTTGAAAAATGTTGATTGAAAAATTGAGATTTGTGACATGGTAAGGTTGGGCCACTCGCTGGTCGAATGGGCAGAGTAACTAAACATCTCATCTAATTTGTATCCAATCAGGTAATTCCTTCCACCTCGTGGAAGGCTCTACAATCAGATTGTAATGTCTATGGTCAGCAACACATTACAGTGTGCCTATGGCTGGATGCACATTCTGTTCATCAAATCATTTTTCCAATGTCTTTATTGACTGTATATTTTTGGGACACAAACATGTGTAATTCATTTTTGCACAGCAGTAAGCAGAGGTAGTGACCTCACAACATATCAAACATGTAATAATCATTGTATAAGCCAGGCCGCATGTCACATTAGATCTGTTACCAAAGCACAATGCTGGTAATGATGAACACAAACATCACTTATTGCCTAATGTGCCACTTACTGTATTGTAGAACACATGCTGCACCATAGACTGCTTTCCACCTGATGGCTCTCTCTCATTGGCTGGATTACTTCCATATTCCATTTTAAGGCAAAAACCTTTTTCAAGTATTTACACAGGAAAAGAGCCAAATTCTAATTTCTACGCCCAAGTTCAGTGAGGTGATAAGAGAGTGGATGTGAAAAGGAAGGTGCAGTGATGCATGCTGACATCATAATGTTCTTTCCTGGGTTACTTCCAAATGATAACAACACTAGAACCATACACTATTATGTACCATCTATTTAAATGAAAATCTTTTTACATTGTCAGTCCACCCAAACGTTACTTGAGTTATAGATGGAGCCTAGTGGGTGGGCTGAATCACCCCTGGCGTATGTCTTAGTTACTCCCAACTGCAAGATCTATCTGCCATAATTTCAGACTATGTTATGTAGATCTGGGAAATTCCACCCCTTCCATTTTATCCTACCCTCTATTGGATTTAGCCCTCCAGCTCTCGTACCTGTATACCCCTTATGGACAAGAACATTATTTTTTTCATTATCACTGAACAATTGGGCACATAGGGGAAAAGTAATACATACAACGTTTTGGATGGGTACCTAAGGAGTCTATTTATAAACAATTTGCAGGGCCCTTTTGGGAATATCTGTGAATGTTTATTTTGGCTGAATAATGCTTAAAACAAACAATACTTTTTTTCCCAGTTTGAATGTATTGTAATACTGCTTTATGGCCCCTAGATGGAGCTCAGGAGCATATGATATAAACTCTTATTGGGGGAAAGAGGGAGATTTTTTTTTTGACTTTGCATGTCTGTTTTGCCAAAAATGCCAACCTACCAGAAATGTTTAACTTTTTTTTAACTTACCTTCTGCTTTTAAAAATATATATTTTTCAGTATGCTGTGTGAACAGGAATACATAGCAACAAAGTGGGGTTCGCTTAGATTTGACAGCAAAAGTAGACCTACACTTTAAATATAACACACCATTCCAAATGAACTGTTCAATGAACGAGTACACTAGTGGCCGCTGATGTCCTAGGAACCAATGAGCCCTCAGTGGGAAGCTGGCACATTGATGACAGCTTCCAGCACATACATGCCCCACTGTGGGCACTGGCATCTCTTTGTACGCTAGCTCAGAGTTAGTCTTAGTTAGTGCCAATTTCCTAATCTGTGAACCGGCACATCATGTAACCCAACATTTTCATCCAGAATAAACCCAGATGACTAAGGCTTAGATAAAGGCACTGGCTTGGCTGTCGGCCAGTAGTTTCCTGTTCCTGGGATGGCTTGAAGCCCCTGATCATTCACACAAAGTATGTATTTTATTTGTGTATCACTCGGCGCTAGATCTTCAAATCATCTCTGAATTGGTGCCGACACTGTCCTTCCTTCTGGAGGGTGGCTACCTTTCCTCCCCATGGTCCCTGTGTGTGTTTTTAAGTAGCCACTGCTGCCAACTCACTCCCATGATGGGCTTGCCAGCAAGATACCATGTAAAATATTGTCTGTACACTGTACATGGGTAAGGTGTGTGCTAACAATTACATGTGTACAGTGGATAGCACAACATTTACCCTACTGTCTGCTAGTAGGCTAGGTGGCTCCTGCCACCTTGCATCCTTCAGCTGAATCACCTAGCAAAGTTTGTTGTTGGTACACATGCAGTTCTTGCAGAGATACGTAGCATCCTTTGTTGCTAGGATACAGATGGCTCTTGTATATTTGCACTGTACACACAAACGTTTACATGTGTACAGTGTAAACTACAGCCCATACACTGGTCCTTGGATGCAGATTATTCTATTTTGTTTAAGAACATAATACTATTACGTTCAGATAGATAGAAATGACAGATTTAAATGCAGAGTATGGGGCACTTGTGTTCAAGTCCTACAGGTTTACAAACATATTTCTGGTTAGATTGGTATCTGCAATTGCTGCACTTTATATCACATGCAGCGTAAGCTTAAAAAACTCTAAAAACCTGAATACATCAAATGTTACTTCTTATCTACAACCAGCTGTTCTCAAGCAGATGAGAGAGTGTAATGATGCACATGAATTGCTTTCCACTGCTGTAGCCTTATTTGCCTTCAGTGAAGACTAAGAGCCTGTTCACACCTGACTGAATTTTGTACCACAACACACATCGTGACAGCGCATTCATTTCTAACTGGCCCAAATGTAGGGGGGAAAAGGCTCTGCTTCTTTATTTTCTATACTCATTGTGCATCATGGTGCATTGAGGTGCTCTGTAGATGCCCCAGCATGCTTGGTGCATTATCGTAACACAGTTGTGCGAAGGGGCTCCGAGCCTACACACAGACTTTAAATGGCAGCTGGAACTACAAGCACATCTAATGTTGTCCATACACATGAATTTCATAAGGTGCCCATACACTGCACAATTATCGTACGATAATCGTATGCGATCGGTTTTTCGTACGATAATCAAGCAGTGTGAACGGAGACGTGCGACCGTTTCTACCGTACGGGCGCACGTCTTCTGTCGAACCAGCATGTTCGAAAACCAGCCGGGAATCGTACGATTCTCGGCTGGTTAGAACGGTGCTCGGAAGATAAATGCTGAACGGGCCGGTGTGCGCACGCGCACACTGCCCGTTCAGCATTGCGGTCATCGGAAGCCCGTCCCTCAGGGGGGCGGGCTTGCGATGATCGAGAGTGCGATCTGCCTGTCCAAGATAGGCAGATCGTACGTTTTTTTAATCCCTTTACAACCATCGCAAGACTAAAGTCTTGCGATGGTTGTAGAGTGTATGGCCACCTTTAGGCAATTTCAATCAGAGGTTTGTCAAGCAATCAGATAGAAAGTGATCAAATTGGATGCCTTGTTTCATTGGGATCTTATTAGCTTAATTGCGGGTAGTTGATGGAAAATAGATTATTCATTTCATATTTTTAAAGAAAGAAGTATTGGGAGAGTAAAATGTACCCCCATAGAGGCCATATGTCTTAACTGCTTGAAGACCAGGTGTTTAGATCCCCTACCTGGCCAGGCCATTTTTCAGTGTTCAGCGCTGCGGTACTTTGACTGACATTTATTCCGTCACGCAACGCTGTACTGAAATGAATTTTATACCATTTTTTGGGGACAGATAGAGCTTTCTTTTGGTGGTATTTAATCACCACTGCGGGTTTTATTTTTTATTATATTCAGGAGAAATTACTGAAAATTTTGAGAAAAAAAACGTTTTTTTTTACATTATGCTATAAAACAACTAATATTACCCACTTTTTTGGTAAAATATAAGAGACGGGGTCACGTCGGGTAAATAGACACCAAACATGTCAAGCGTAAAAATTGCGCGCACTCGCAAAAACCTAGCATACCCAAAATTGGCCATAGGCGACGCTTTAAAAGATTTTACCGCTCATCAGTTTAGTGTTATCAGTGATTGATGGCCCTAGAACTATTGCTCTCATTCCGACGTTTGCGGCGATATGTAACATGTGCGGCGTAATGGGTGCAATCGTCGTTTTCGCAGGTAAGCGCACCTGCCTGACGCATGTTTACATGCGTGTATGTAGGGGTGGGGACTTTAAAAAAAAAATTGTTTTTTTAATTCTTTTTTGTGTAACTTTAAAAAAATTGGGGGG